ATAAGTATATATTTACTCCTGGAAAATAAATGGATTCATGGTTTTTCACACACGGGAAATTGGATACGCGCAGGCCAGAAATAGGATCCACGACACTGCCGCACACCCGAAAAAAGATCCAGTTGGATCCATCGGTGTTTCAGTCCAAGGGGGAACATTCGGCCTGGGGATGAAGGATCCGGCACCCCGCGCCAGACATTCGCGAAAGGTTAGTAGGAGAGACGCAGTTGAAGGATTTGGCACCCCGCGCCAGACATTTGCGAAAGTGTTTGTGGGAGAGACGCAGTTCGAAACCCCGCTTACGCAGGCCGAAGGATTTCCCTCTTGTGCCCCATCTGTCCGAAGCGACGTGCCGTTCAGGTGAGCGGGTACATGTAGACGCGTTCTTCGGTTTCGTGCCTCCTCCCTCCTCCTTTCCCTCTCCGTCTTAGGAAGAACCCCTTCCCACGTAGAGTCATAGCTTGGGTGAGCAGATCCACAGTTCCGTGGATAGCAGGATGCTTCACGTGCGGTGCCCCGCGGATCCCATGCCCCCTGGGTCCGGGATGGTTAACTATTTGTATGTTTCATTACTTTCAAATGTTAATAATATTCCTATTGCACATTCGTTCCAGGAAAATACATCTATATATACACATACGTACACACATTGCTTGTCACACACGGGAAATTGGATCTGCGCAAGACAGAAATACGATCCACGACGCTGTCGCGCGTCCGCGCAAATTCAATTGGATCCATAGGCGTTCTCGTACTTTTAGCCCCAGAGGAAAAAGCGTTCGGCCTGGGGATGCATGATGATGAGGAGGATGCTGATGATGATGATGATGATGATGATGATGATGATGATGATGATGACGATGACGATGACGATGACGATGACGATGACGATGACGATGACGATGATGATAAACATGGATCCATTCAATTCGTGCGCATCCCCATTGCGCCCTCTCATTATCCAGCTTTTTGCCCTCGAGGCCTTGGGCCAGCCCGTTGCACACTACCCTCCCACTTTTGCTACCTGCCTCCTCTCCTGCCCCTTGCCGTTGCGTCTGCCCGTGCTCCATCGCCCCCTGGGCCCTCCTCAAGCGGCGCCCCTCCAGGTCATGGGCCTGACAGCAGGGGGTGGCAAGAAACTTTTCAAGCGCATGAAGGATGGCGACATCGACTTTGTGGACTTCTTGCTTGTGGCCTCCTGGGGGGGTGGGGGGTCAGGACAGCGGGGCACGTCACCATTTTGGCATCAGCAGATTCATCCTCCTCCTCCTCTTCCTCCGCCTCCTCTTCGTCGTCGTTTTCATGTGGTGCGCAGCTCAGTCAGTAGTCGCGGCGAATCGGCGCGGAATTGTCCAGGTTCCACGCGGAGCAACGGCCAGGAGGGCCGTTAGGGTGCGATGAAGAGAACATGTGCAGCAGTGGACGGCCAACCGGCCAGGACAATGCGGTGGGCAGAGGTGGTCGAGGAGCTGGCGGAGGAGGAGGAGGAGGAGGAGGAGGAGGAGGAGGAGGAGAAGGAGGGGGAGGGGGGGGGAGGGGGAGGAGGAGGAGGAGGAGGAGGAGGAGGAGGAGGAGGAGGGAGAGGAGGAGGACGAGGAGGAGGAGGGAGGAGAGGGGGAGGCGGAGGAGGAGGAGGGAAGAGGACCAGACACTTTTCCTACAACATGTCTGGCTCCTCAACAGCCTGGGGGGCGGACCGGGGCTTGGGCAAAATGGGCACTTGGCCCAGACCAAGATACCCCCCGTGGCTGTCGCCTCCCACCCCTTCTTACATCCTACACGCTTTTCTTTTGAGAGGAAGTAGGAGTCGGAGGGGAGAAGGAGGAGAAGGTGTTAGTGCGACACGGACGACCAGAGGTGGAGCAGGGCGGGGGGGACTCAGGCCACGCGGTCGAAGAGAAGGGCGTTGATGATGATGATGATGCTGATGCTGATGCTGATGGGGATGTTTATGATGATGACGATGACCATGATGCTGATGCTGGCGCTGATGATGAGTATGAGAATGATGCTGATGATGATGATGATGATGATGATGATGATGATGATGATGCCGTTGATGCTGATGCCGTTGATGCTGATGTTGATGATGATGTTGATTATCATCATGATCCTGGTGATTGTGATGGTGGTGGTGGTGAGGGGGAGGGGGAGGGGGAGGGTGATGGCGATGGTGATGATGATGATGATGATGATGATGATGATGATGATGATGATGATGATGGTGGTGATTATGATGATGCTGATAGTGTTAAATATGAGTATGAGCATGCCCATGATGATAACGATTATGATGATGCTGCTGATGATGATGATGGTGGTGATGGTGATGGTGATGACACTTGTGATTTTGATGTTTTTGGTGATGGTGATGATGATGATGGTGATGGCGGTGATGGCGGTGATGGCGCTGCTGGTGGTTCGTAGGGGGGAGGAGGTGGTGGCATAGATGGGGGAGAGGGAGGGGTAGTAGTAAGAGGAAGAGGGAGGCGAAGGAGGAGGAGGATTGCAAAAAAACCCAGGATTGCAAAAAAAAACCCAGGGTTGTTTTGCAATCCTTCGTTGTTTTGCAATCCTTCGTGAGAGGAGGCCCTTCCTTCCCCGCCCCCCTCGACAAGGTCTGGCTCCTCAACGACCTGGGCGGGGACCTGGGCGACGTGCAGCAGCTCGCCGAGGCCCGAGAGTCCCCCCACGGCTCAGGCACCCGCGCGCACGCTCCGCGGTCGTCGCCGTCGTCGGTCGCAGGGCGAGGAGGAGGGAAGAAGGGAAGGACGGAGGAGGGGCGAAGGTGGCACTTGAGGATGACGATGCCGAGGATGCGGAGCAGGGCGAGGAGAAGGACGACGACGAGAAGCAGGGGGAGGGGGGGAAATACGAAAAGGATGCTGTTGATCAGGGGATGGGGATGGGGACGAGAATAACGACGACGACGATGTAAACAATTGTAGAGGTGATGATCATACTGCTAATGGTGATGGAAACGATGACGGTGGTTGTGGTAGGTGACGACGGTGATGGCAATGAACATGCCGATGTTGACGATGGCGACCACGATAATGCCAACGATGATGATTCCAATGATGATGCCGATTATGGTTATGGTTATGGTTATGATTATGATGATGTTGCTGCTGACGACGATGATGATGATAATGTTGAGTATGATGGTAATGATGATACTTATGATAATGATGACAATGATGATGTTGACGATGCTGATGACGATGATGATGACGGTATTGATGATGGAAGTGTTGATGTTGAGGTTGATGTTGATGTTGATGTTCATATTGGTGATGATGAGGAGGATGGTGATGGTGATGCTGATGCTGATGATGATGGTGAGTACGGCGGTTATGCTAAGTATGAGGACGGGTGACGATGCCCAGGAAGATGCGAAGTATGAGGATGGCTATGATGGTAGCACGGGTGCGGATGCTGATGACGCAAATGATGATCATCATTCCCAGGCAGTGTTTGCACGTAGGGGGTCCCACTTGCCTTCTAAGGAACTGGGCTCGTTTGTCGGGTCCGCCGCCGTGTTGTTGCCGCCGTCACCGCCCCATCGCCGCCCGTCGTCTGGGCTCGTTTATCGGGTCAGCCGCCTTGTTGCCTCCGTCGCCGCCCCGTCGCCGCTTCGTCGCCGCCCGTCGTCTGGGCTCGCTTGTCGGGTCCATCGCCTTGTTGCCGCCGTCGCCGCCTCGTCGCCGCCCGTCGTCTGGGCCCGTTTATCGGGTCAGCCGCCTTGTTGCCACCATCGCCGCCCCGTCGCCGCCTCCTCGCCTCCCGAGGCCGCTGCCGCATCGTCGCTTCGTCGCCGCCTGTCATTTGGGCACGTTCGTCCGATTCGCCGCCGTGATGCCGCCGTCGCCGCCCCGTCGCCGCGCCGCCCGTCGTCTGGCTTCGTTTGTCGGGTCCGCCGCCTTGTTGTTGCTGTCGCCGCCCCGTCGCCGCCTCGTCGCCGCCCGAGGCCGCCGCCCCGCTGCAATTCCACAGTTGCAACCCAATCGATTGCAATCCGATCGATTGCACGCCCACCGATCGATTGCAATTCAATCGATGACAATCCAGTCGAGTGCAATTCAGCACATTGCAATCCAATCGATTGCGCAGTCTAGAATGCACAGCACCTGTTGTGCAACCTAGACTTAATGGGCTCCCGCTTCGTAGTGCAATTTGCACACGTTTCTGCCCCATCGCCCATCCGAAATATGAGGTCATACCATCCCAGGCAGGCTGGTATCGCTCCCCCACTCAGCCTGTGCCAATAAATTGTGCGCGCGCACTCGTGGATCACAAATCATCAGATCTCAAGTTTCCCTTGCAAGAACTAGACGAAGTGCACAAGCGTTCGGCGTCGCGCGCGCATGCCAAAATCCATCAAACACCAGCGTTTTCGTACGGATTTCAAAACCGAGCGCCCCGAAAGCTCATCATTAAAAAACACATGGGTTCCCAACATCTATGTTCCAAAAAGGCTTGCGCTCGGGCCCTTGCTGATACTTAAGAAAACCATCGGCTTTTCGACATGTCCATACACTATACCGGAAGTGCCCCTCGCGCGCGCATGTCGACATAGTTCGGGCGCCTATGCACGCGTGCTGTCGCAAGAACCGCTTGCAAAAAATGAAACGGACTGCGCGCGCGCGTCTTCGCGCGCGCATGCCGAAATCATTCGACAACCTTAGGTGTCGCTGGGATTTCAAAACCACGCTATTCCCCGAAGGAACACGCCGGACCTCGCGCCCCTGCGCATTCCTCAACGAACCGTCGCTTTTTTCCCCACAATTTAATTGAATTCTGCCAAACGGGCCTCTCGCACCGCAGTTCGAAATCGTTCGAGCGCCCTTGCTCACCTGCTGGGGGGGGGGGGCGCGATCCGCGGTCAATAATGCCATGCGGGCCACACTAGCGCGTCGGCCGCGCGCGCGTGTCGAATTCCTTCCAAAACCTTCGTCGCCAACGCGAAACCAGCGCGGAGCAGTCATCGCAATCGCCGCCGCATGAGTTTTGCAACCCAAGTTGCGGGCGGGCGGGTGCGATGATTGCGCGAGAAATTGGAGCTGACAGCTCCCAGTTCGGCAGGGTGCGTTCATGCTTCAAAAACAAAGTTAGCACCCCCCCCTCCCCCCCCGAATTCGCGACGACCTTGTCCTTCTCGCGTCGCATTTTACATGCGAGCCTGCCCCGTCGCCCACCCGAAAAGACGCGCTCTGGCCCTGCCAAAAGCTGCAGACAATCATATGCTTTAAACGTGCGCATAACTTGTTGCCCAAGGCGCCTCTCGCGCGCGCGCATATCGGAATCGGTCGGGCGACCTGGCGCGCGCGCTGTCGCGAGAATCCCTTGCGAAGAGCAGGGCGAGGTGCATGCGCGCGCGGCCGCGCGCGCGTGCGGAATTCCTCCGCAAACTTACGCTTTCGCAATATTTCAAAACCGAGTGCCCCGATGACAGACAAAGCCATATGGTTCTGCAACGTCAGTTTTCAACAATGCCTGCGCCCGCGCTCTTGCGACTTCTAAAGCAAACCATGGTTTGCCCAACGCGTTAATGATTTGGCCGAACGGGCCGATCGCGCCGCGCGTCAAAATCATTCGGGCGCCTTTGAGCGCGCGCCAGGGCGGGGGCAACGACCCGCGTCAAATAATACCACGTGGGCCACTCTCGCACGCCAGCCACGCGCGCGCTATTCGAATCCTCTCGAAACCATGATCGCCGACGCGAGGGCGCCGTCATCGTCGACGGAGCGATCAGCATCGGCGCCCTCGCCGGCGGCACCGTCGCCGCTGTCATCATCGCCGCCGGCATCGCTGCCATCATCGCCACTAGCATCGCTACCGTCTTCACAATTTCTACCCTCGTCGACGACGCCACGGTGCCGCGCCCGCCCAAGTCGCCGACTCGCAGCGAAGAGCCCGCTGGGAAGTTCCCCGCGGCCAGCGCCGCCACGACCGCGGCGGCGGCGCCGAACTATCCGGCCGCTGCGCGCGCGAGCACGCTCGGGTTAGCGCGGCCGCAGAGACGCGCCAGTCAGCCCCAAACACTCATCGCAATCTCCGCCGCATGGGCTTTGCAAGCTTAGCTGCGGGCGGGCGGGCGGGGTGACTGCGCGAGCGGTGGAGTGGGCAAGTCGCCGCGAACCGAAAAAATCATTTGCACCGCGCAGGTTCTCCTGTCTAGATAAGACGCAGACCCCCCCCCCCCGGGCTTCGCTGCGCCCCTTCGCGCATTGCGTTTTCAATTCGCCGCGCGCAGAAATAAATTTTCTTTTCTGGGGGAGTAGTAGGATCTACCTCCCCCGGCCCCGGATGCACGCGTTTTGTTTGTTCCGCGTTGCAATTTGCGTGCGATTCCGCCCCATCGCCAATATCCAACATGAGTTCGCACGACGTCAGGCAGGCGGGCAGCGCCCCCCCCCCCCTCATTTTTTGCAGCAAATACTATGCGCGCGCAGTCGTTGATCACAAGTCATAGTGCAACAGAAAATGATGCAATGCAAGCGTGCGTCGTCACGCGCGCATGCCGAAATCTTCACTGCATATGCATGTGCACGCTTTAAAAAGGTTCCGTTCGGATTTCAAAAATCGAGCGCCCCGAAAGCATGCAAAAGCACATGTTTTTTTTGCGATGTTCAGAAAAAGCTCGCGCTCAAACTCTTGCGAATCTTCAAGAAAACCATAGGTTGTCAACGATGTCATTAAATCATACCCCATGAGCCTCGCGCGCGCATGTCGAAATCGCTCGAACGCCCTCGCGCGCATGCTGCCGCGAGAATTTTACGCAGCAGACGGGGCGAAGCGCGCGCGCCCGCGTCGCCGCGCGCGCGCCGAAATCCTGCAAGAACCTTTGGTCCCGTAAGGATATCAAAATCGAGCGCCCCGACAGCATATAAAAAACACATGGTTTTGTAACACCCGTGTTTTCTTTAATATGTAGAAATATACACATATATATATAAATATATATATATGAAACAGCGTTCACGCTTTTGCGAGTTTTCATGAAAACCATAAGGCCCTCACAATTCCCATTAGATTCTGTCAAACGGAGCCTTCGCACTGCATCCCGACATGACTCGAACGCCCTCGCGCGCGTGCTGGGGGGCACGATCCGCGACGAAAAAGACCATGATGGCCACTCGTGCGTCGGCCGCGCGCGCATGTCGAACTCTTTCCAAAACCCTCATCACCGACGCGAGGGCGCCGTCATCGTCGCCAATCAGCATCGGCGCCATCACTGGCCGCGCGGTCACCGTTGCCATCATCGTCACCAGCGTCGCTATTCGAATCGTCGCGCCTACCCCCGTCGACGCTGCCATGATGCCGCGCCCGCCCAAATCGCCGACTCGCATTGAAGCGCCCGCTGGGACATGCCCCGCGGTCAGCGCCGCCGCGGCCGCGGCGGCGGCGCCAAACTACGCGGCCGCTGCGCGCGCGACCGCGCGCCGGCAAGCGCGGCCGCAGAGACGCACTGGCCATCTCCAAGCACTCACCGCAATGGTCGCCGCATGCGCTTTGCAAAACGAGTTGCGGGTGGGTCGGCGGAATGATTGCGCGAGCAGTGGACTTGCAGATTGCATCACGAAGACTGCACAACATCAATTGCACAGCATCGGTTGCACTGAATTTCTACATTATTTCGATTGCACCACATAGATTGCCCCATCTAGATTCTCCTTTCTAATTGAAGAATACACTCGACCCCCCTTCCCCCTCCCCCCCCCCCCCGAGTTGAGTTGACGGCACCCGTTTTCGCATTGCAATTTACATGCGGTTCTGCCCCATCGTCCACCCGAAATATGAACTCATATTATCCCAGCCAGGCTGGCGTGCCCCCCCCCCCCCCCCCCGCTACTTTGTCAAAAATATTATGCGCGCGCACTCGTGCATCAAGAATCACAAGTTTTGAAGAACCCCTTGGAAAAATATCGCGCGCGCGCCCATGACAAAATCGTACCCAGCACAGAGTGTTTCACGTATTTCAGCATAAAGCCAAAAAGCCCTAGGGCTCTGCAACAAAAAATGCTAACTTCCTGTCCGCGCGCTCATGCTAGAATCACACAAAAATCGCACGATTCTTATGAATTCAGCCAAATCCAGCGATTTCATGTCACCGCGCAGTGCACCCGCGATGTTCCTGTCATGCGCCGAGGGCACGAATCCCTTGCAAAAAAACACCACGCGGGCCACATGCGCACACCGCCGCGCGCGCATGATCAGTCTGACGGATTTGAATTTCCGGGTCCGCGGATTTCCTTGTTCAACCTTGTCAGCATCACCGCGATCACCTGACTCATCGACAGATGGACATCAGCATTGTCAACGTGTTTGCCATCGTTGGTGCCGTTATCGTTCGTGCCGTCGCCCTCTTGAACATCGTCGTCGTTGGTGCCATATCGGTCATTGTCGCAGACGTTGCCGACGTCACCTTGTCATCGTGCACGTCCGAGTACCGTCGATATGCGCACCTTCAACATCGACTCTCGGTGACGAGCATCGGCAGTGAGACTGTTATCATCGATGTCGTCATCGGTGGCGCCGCCGTCCTTCGCATCATGAGTTGTGCCAAACAAGTTGCGGGTGGGAGGGTTGGATTTTTTGCGCGAGCAGTGGAGATGACGACTTCAAGTTCAGCAGAGTGGATTCTCCTTTCTAAAAGACTAATAGATTCTACCCCCCCCCCCCGGACTTATCGGGTCCCCCGCGCATGCTGTAAATTACACATGATTCTGACCACATGTCCATCCTAAATATGAATTCATACCATCCCAGCCAAGCCGGGTTCCCCCCCCCTGCGGTTCCCTGGTAAAAAAAAAAAAAAAAAAAAAAAAAAAAAAAAAAAAAAAAAAAAAAAAAAAAAAAAAAAAAATGCGGTGACATGTTTTGTTCTAACATATCACTTTTTCACGAATCCCTTGCAAAAAACGGGACGAAGTGCGCACGCGCGCGTCGTGGCGCGCGCATGCCGAAATCCTTAACAAACCTTCGGCTCCGGAGAGATTTCAAAATTGAATTTCCAAAACAACATATAAAAAACACATGGTTTCGCAACACTGATTCAAAAAAAATTACGCGCGAGCTCTTGCGAAATCTTAAGAAAACCATAGGTTTTCCAAGATTTTCACAAAATGCTACCAAACGGGCTTCGCGCGCGCGCATGTCGAAATCTGTCGAACGCTCTTGCGCGCGTGCCGTCGCGAGAATCCTCTGCAAAAATGGGACGAAGTGCAGACGCGCGCTTCGTCGCGGGCGTATGCCGAAATCCTTCAAAAACCCTCGGTTTCGGAAGAATGTCGAAATCGTGCGTCAAAAAAAAACCTACAAAAACACGAGGTTTCGCAACACGGGTTTTCAGCAAAATTGTGTGCGCGCGCTCTTGCGTCGTCGTCGTCGTCGTCCTCCCTCCTCCCTCGTCGTCGTCGTCGTCGTCGCCGTCGTCGTCTTCTGTCTTTCCTCGTCGTCTTTGGCGTCGTCGTCGTTTCCGTCGTCGTTGTCGCCGTGGTCGTCCTTCCTCCCTCGTTGTCTTCGTCGGCGTCTCGTCGTTGTCCCTCCTATTTCGTCGCGTCGTCGTCGTCGTCGTCGTCGTCGTGGTCTTCACTCCTCCCTCGTCGTTATCCTCCTCCCTCGTCGTCGTCGTCCGTCGTCGGCGTCTCGTCGTCGTCCCTCCTATTTCGTCGCCGTCGTCGTCGTCTTCGTCGTCGTTGTCATCGTCGTCGTCTTCCCTCCTCCCTCGTCGTTGTCGTCGTCGGCGTCGCCGTCCTTCCTCCTTCTTCGTCGTTGGCGTCGTCGCCGTCTTCCCTCCTCCATCGTCGTTGTCGTCGTTGTCGCCGTCGTCGTTTTTTCTCCTCCCTCGTCGTCGTCTCCGTTGGCGACGTCGTCGTCGTCTTCGTCGTCGTCGTCGGCGTCGTTGTCGTCGTCGTCGGTGTCGTCGTCGTCGTTGTCGTCGTCGAAAACATTGGAGACGTCGTCGGTGTCGTCGCAGTCGCTGTCGGCGGCGCCGTCGTCGTCGATGTCGCTGTCGTCGTCGGCATCGGTGTCGTGGCCAAGTGCCACGCAGTACCTACCGTCACGGTCTTGTCTGAAGATGCGACCAAGTTGCGGGTGGGAGGGTGGGATGTTTGCACGAGCAGTGGAGAGGACAGCTTCAAGACAGTCGAAGTGGATTGCACAGCGTAGATTGTACAACGTTGATTGGACACATAGGTTGCACAAGTAGATTGTGCAGCGCAGAGTGCACGACATGGATTGCACCACCTAGCTTGCACCACGCATGCTGCTCCACAGCTAGAAACACACTGTTTGGGGGGACGCTGGCCATCACCAAGATGGTGGTCAGAGTGAGACTGACGCCGACGACGCCGATGACAATCATGGTGATGTTGAGCATGCCTATGATGATGAAGATGAGCACGTTGGGAGGAAGAGGAGGACAAATGGACGGTTGAGGATGGCACATACCTCCAGCGTTTGTGCACGTCATGACCGCCGGTTTGTCCAAGCTTGGCCCGCTGCAGGCTCATGCGGGGCCCTGGTTAGGGGGTGTTGTGGGGGGAGGGAACAGATGGTCGTGCAAACATGGACGCAAGACTACGCAATGCAAAATTCAGGTCATGTTTTTCCGAGCCGCGTGGTTCAAAGACAAACGTTGGCAAGCAAATGCGTGATGGCCATACAGGACGCAACGTTTCCTGGACTCCCGTGCAAGCAGTGGCGGTTCGGGTTCCCCAGGCCTTCCCTCCCTGCCCTTCGAAAGCCGACGGAACAGCGAATAACAATTTCGAGTCAATAGTTTCTGGCATTATGTTATGCGGTGGTCTTCTGTGTTGAAGTTTGTATACGTGCTTGGTCGGGCTATAGTTGTGCAGTATGTGTGCAATAGTTGTGCAATAGTTCGCGGTGGCTTGCAGTCGCTTGCGTTCGAGGGCGCAAAGGTTAGGAGGGGTGCGATAGTTCCGGCGGGCCGAACATTATCGCAACACTCCTATCGGGGACAGGGGGCTCGCCGTTCAGCCAAAACGAAACCGAGGCCCTGTTCGCGCGGCACGCGATGTTCAAAGCATGGCGCATACAGTGAAACGTCTGTCCCTCCAATAAGTCAAAAACGTTAAGTTTCACCTGGGCTTGACCCCCATCTGTTCCCGCCCCATCAGCACTCATGAATAAGGGCGCGAATTCAATATGCAAATTCTGGTCGATACATCGCCTCACTGATTGGACCAACAGGACGTCGCAGGTCAGAGGAGGGAAAGGAAGACGGAAGAAGGGGATGATGATGATGATGATGATGATGATGATGCTGATGATGCTGATGATGATGATGATGATGATGATGATGATGATGATGATGATGATGATGATTATTATTATGATTATGATGATTATGATGATGATACTGAAGAGGAGGACGATGAGAAGGATGATGAGGAGAACGAGAGGGAAGAGGTGGAGCAGGCGCAGGAGGTCGAGGGAAAAGAGGTAGGATGAAGATTCGGGAGCGCGAGAATGAACACGATGGTGATGATGAGGATGATGAGCTTATAATGACGATGACGGTGACCACGGCGATGGTAATGATGGCCCTGGTGTTGCTGCTGATGACGGCAACGACGATGCCGACGGCGGCGATGGTGATGATAATGACGGTGTTGATGATGCTGGTGTGATGTCCATGATGATGATGATGATGATGATGATGATGATGATGATGATGATGATGAGGGTGATGACTGCGCTGAGTATGGCTAGACTTATTGTGATGCTTAGGATGATGACGCTTGTGGTGGTGGCGGTGGTGATTGACAGTACCAGTAGGAACGCGATCGACTGCCCAGACACGCCTGGGTTGAACGTGCACCGTGTACGGTGTCCACACGTACTGGGTCAATACACTGCGTGTTGCCTCAACGCGTGGTCCGTCTTGAGACTCTGCGTTCCGTTCCGTGTTGGGTTCAATTTGGGATCTCCGTCTGGCCAGCACGTGGACTACGTATGTCCCAGGTGCCCCAGGGGACCTCGGCGACTGGGTGGACGGCCCGAGACCCCAAAGGGCCTGGGCGGACCGTCCATGGTTCTTGGCAGAATGCCGGGGGGCTCCGATTGACTGAGGCGTCCAGGGGCCTCGGTGGAGGCCCCCAGGGGTCAGAGTCTTCGGCGGAGCGCTTGCGTCTAGGCCTCTCAGATGGGGTCGGAGCAGATGGGGTCGGAGGATCGCGCCGCATCGCCGATGCATCGGCCATGCGGCTCGGTGGGGCACAATTTTCTGCACGCCGACGTCGCCGATGCAACGCCGACGTCGCCAGGGCATCGCCGATGAATCGGCGATGCGGCGAGACTCCCCGACCACATCTACTCGGACCCCCTCTAGGAGGCCCCTATTGCGGAGGGAGTGATGATGGAGGGGAGGAGGAGAAGGAGAAGCAGAATACAAGGGATTGAAAGGGTTGCGACCCGCGATTGCAGGTCTTGCTGGGAAGCTGAAGGGGTACAAGGTCATCCTGGACGCCACGGCTTCAGCGTCGCTTGCTCTTTCGGTTCGTCTCGCCTCGCAGCTTCGAGATGCAGGCGGGTCGCTCGTGCATTGAGGGCAGATCCATCGGTGCGGGCCGCACCGCGGCACCGTCAACGTGGCCAGGCTAGTCTGGCGGCTCTCGACGATCTCCACGGCTTTCCAGGGAGCCTCCGAAGACCTCTTCGGGCCTCTCCGGGCAGGCGCTCGAGGAGCAGCCTCCAGAGGCCAGGCGCCGTTGCGGCACTGGCCCACCTGCAGGAGGACGGCGCGGGGCTGCCCAGTCTGCGCCGCCTCTGCGTGGCGCGACCCGCAGGCCCCGCCGCCGAAGAGCTTCGGCCTTCTGTTACGGCAGCTTCGCGTCGTGTCGACTGGCGGCGACCCCGCCGCCAGCGTTCTCGACGTTGACTGCCAGCGGCGGCCCAGAATCGGTCGATGTTGAACGATCGGACGTTTGGGAAACGGCCGATCGTTCAAGGTAGAACGTCAGAGCCCCGAATCATAAGGTAGAACGTCAGAGCCCCGAATCATCAGGGCTTACTCGGGTTCGTGTTTCGGGAATCCGAGCCCGAGTTACCCCGGGCCCGAGTTACCCCGGATAATTCGGGCGCCCAGAGCCCCAAATCATGAGGGGTACCTCGGGTCAGGGCTAGCTCGGGTTCGTTTGTCGGGAATCCGAGCCCGAGTTACCCCGGGCCCGAATTACCCCGGATAATTCGGGCGTCCAGAACTCCAAATCATCAGGGGTAACTCGGGTCAGGGCTAACTCGGGCTCGTTTTTCGGGAATCCGAACCCGAGTTGTTCGCTATTCGGGAATCCGAGCCCGAGTCACCCCGGATAGCTCGGGCGTCCAGAGCCCCTAATCATGAGGGGTACCTCGGGTCAGGGCTAGCTCGGGCTCGTGTTTCGGGAGTCCGAGCCCGAGTTGCCCCGGGCCCGAGTTGCCCCCGGATAACCCCAGGAAGCATTTAAGAAACCCCCCGGCGATATCTTAGCACCGCATTTTTATTCGATATTCCGAGGGGCCGAAATAACCGCACGATAGGTTTAGCACCCGGACACACAACAAATTCGCGGAGGCCTGGCCCTTGGGCTACAATCGAAATTCGAAATTCAAATCTGCGTGGCTCTCATGAAAGACTCAGGATGTCGCTTGCTGCTTGGAAAATTCATGCAATGATAATAGTGTTAATATTCGCAAGCATATTTGATGACTCCTAACGACTTGAATGGATCCATCAGGTTTCATACAAGTTCCGCAGGATTCTCAAGGATTCTCAGGATTCCAGAGGGGAAACCCCAGGTGACTTGGGCCCTGACAGGCCTTGGGCCCCGAGGGAAGGAGGGGGGCGCGGGAGGAGGAGGAGGAGGAGGAGGAGGAGGAGGAGGAGGAGGAGGAGGAGGAGGAGGAGGAGGGGGCAGGAGGAAGTTCGTGGGTGGAGGAGAGGAGGAGGAGGAGGAGGATGAGGAGGAGGAGGAGGAGGAGGAGGAGGGCTCCTGGTGCCAGGTAACGCTTCCAGGGTGCGGAAGGGTTATCGATTTGCCGGAAGGGGGGGGGGGGGGTTCTTAAATGCTTCCTGGGGTTAACCCGGGCGCCCAAGAGCGATCCCCCGCGGTGTCAGGAACAAGTGCCGAAGTCGACGCGACACGCACCTTCGGGGGACGAAATCTATACATATCCACTGCTCCCTGGCCAGGCCCATCCTGAACCCAGGAGCTGTGTATACGCCCTCCTGGCCAAACCAGGAGGGCGTGGCGTATACACAGCTGCTGTGTTCAGGATGGGCCTGGCCAGGGAGCAGTGGATATGTATAGATTGCGTCGCCCTGCACCTGCCGTGCCTCCACGCCTGCTCCGTGCTTCCTGCACGGCCTCGTGGCTCCCCGGGGGCGCTTCGGCGGGAGGCCATCCTCGCCACGGCCGGGCGCGGCCAGGCCGGCCTCGGGGGCCGCTGGCCGGCATCAGTGTATGCTATGCTGCTCTCTGCCTCTCTCTCTCTCTGTCTCTCTCTCTCTCTCTCTCTTTCTCTCTTTTTCCTTTGTGACTTCTCTCTCTTCCTCTCTCCTTCCTCTCTCTCTCTCTCTCTTTCCTCCTTATTACTTCTCTCTTGTTCTCTCTTGGCTTATCTCTTTTGTCTCTCCCTTTGTTGTTTCTCTCTCTCTCTCTCTCTTTCTTTCCTTCTCTCTCTCTCTCTCTATCCATCTCTCCTCTCTCTCTCTCTCTCTCTCTCTCTCTTTGTCACCTAACAGCGTTTGCTGATAGGTTTCTAGTAGGGTCAAAAGAGAGCATCATGACTCCTCAGGGGGGTCTGGGCGGGTGCCGGGGAGGAGAACCGGGAACAGAACCGGGAACAGAGCCGGGCTCGCTTTTCGCCAACAGTCACACACTTCGTGCTCTTCGACCTCCCAGAACTCCATTCCCGGGCCACATTCTGGATGCCCGGAGCCAACTGTAGGCCACTTCGTGCTCTTCGACTTCCCAGAACCCCATTCCCGGGCCACATTTTGGATACCCGGAGCCAACTAGGTCACTTCGTGCTCTTGGACTTCCCAGAACACCATTCCTGGGCCACATTTTGAATGCCCGGAGCCAACTGTAGGCCACTTCGTGCTCTTCCACTTCCCAGAACTCCACTCCCGGGCCACTGTTGCTGCTGCTAGTGTAGCTATTGCTATTGCAACTACTGGCAGTGCCACTGCGACTGCCGCTGATGTTGCCACTGCGACTGCCACTGCGAATCCGAATGCCAGGCTGAGGCTGAGGCAGGCTGAGGCCGAGGCCGACGGCAGACTGAGGCTGAAGCTGAAGCAGGCTGAGGCAGAGGCAGGCTGAGGCTGAGGCTGATGCTGAGGCAGGCTGAGGCTGAGGCTGAGGCTGATGCAGGCTGAGGCTGAGGCAGGCTGAGGCTGAGGCCGAGGCTGAAGGCAGACTGAGGCTGGCTGAAGCAGGCTGAGGCTGAGGCTGAGGCAGGCTGAGGCTGAGGCTGAGGCAGGCTGATGCTGAGGCAGGCTGAGGCTGAGGCTGAGGCTGAGGCTGAGGCTGCAGGCTGAGGCTGAGGGCTGAGGCTGAGGCTGAGGCTGAGGCTGAGGCTGAGGCTGAGGCTGAAGCAGGCTGAGGCTGAGGCTGAGGCAGGCTGAGGCTGAGGCTGAGGCTGGGCTGAGGCTGAGGCTGAGGCTGAGGCTGAGGCTGATGCAGGCTGAGGCTGAGGCAGGCTGAGGCTGAGGCTGAGGGCTGAGGCTGAGGCTGAGCTGAGGCAGGCTGAGGCTGAGGCTGAGGCAGGCTGAGGCTGAGGCAGGCTGATGAGGCTGAGGCTGAGGCTGAGGCAGGCTGAGGCTGAGGCCGAGGCTGAAGGCAGACTGAGGCTGAGGCTGAAGCAGGCTGAGGCTGAGGCTGAGGCAGGCTGAGGCTGAGGCTGAGGCAGGCTGGCTGAGGCAGGCTGAGGCTGAGGCTGAGGCTGATGCAGGCTGAGGCTGAGGCAGGCTGAGGCTGAGGCCGAGGCTGAAGGCAGACTGAGGCTGAGGCTGAAGCAGGCTGAGGCTGAGGCTGAGGCAGGCTGAGGCTGAGGCAGGCTGAGGCTGAGGCTGAGGCAGGCTGAGGCTGAGGCTGTGACTGCGACTGCCGTTGCCACTGCGACTGTCATCGCGAATGCGACTACGACTGCGAGAACAGCAGAATTCTACAACTGGATTCCCATCCGAATCTTAAGGGGAATGCTTCCAGATATGCTCCTACACATCGCTGTTAGGTTGCTTTGCCGGGATAATGTTTTTGTTTCTCTCTGTCTCTCTCTCTTTCTCTCTCTCTCTCTCTCTCTCTCTCTCTCCAGGAATAATAATAAACAAATGACACAAGGAATAAGCATAACCTTTTGGCATCTTGGATCCGCACCGGGCCACCTGGCGACGCCTCCAGCGCCGCCACTGGTGCGCTTCGCGCGCCAGGGAAGGGGAGTCCAGCGCGGATCCAAGGACTCCGCGCGGAGCGCCGAAAGTTTACGTTCCTGCAAGTTGTTTATTATTTTGCTCTCTCTCTCTCTCTCTTTCTGTGGTTTTGGTCCAGTGTGGTGGGCAGCAAGCGTTGCGAGTCCTTCACAGTGATGGAGAGCGCGGCGCGGACCCGTACCACGACCGCCAAATCGGAGTGTTCGGAGTTTGGTTCCTGGGTCATCCCAAGCAGGCTTGCTTCAGCTTGCCGACTGGGGCTTTCCTTCCAGGATTGAAGGATTGCCATCTCTTCCGCGGCGGAAGGGCGGCGGAAGTAAAAAACGAGGCCACCTCCACCGGCGGAAGCCGGCGGAAGCTCGGCGGACGGCGGCGGAAGTAAAAGATGTGCCCCCAAGAGATGAACATATTTTTGGGTTCAGGGTTTCCGAAATCGCCCAATAGTGTTCCTGGGCTCAAGGCCCACGGGCCTCCCCCCAAGGATCGGATGGGCCCCAGGGCCCCATGCACCCCCCATGGGACAACAACGACGACGACGACAACGACGACGAAAACGACAACGACGACGACGGTGTCGATGGCGGTGGCGGCGACGTCAGAGACCACGACGACGACGAGGAGGACGAGGACGAAGACGACGACGACGACGAAGACGTCGACGGCGACGACGACGACGACGGTAACGACGAAGGCGATGACGACGACGACCTTGACGACGAAATGAGAAGAAAAACGACGACGACGACGACGACGACGACGACGACGACGACGACATCAAATACTGTGACGTCGAAGACGACGACGACGACGACGACGACGACGACGACGACGACGACGACGACGACGGCACCGCAACACCTCCCCACCCCCACAGTGGGGGGGGAACTGGAGCACCACCCCATACACGTCCACAGGGGGGGTATCCCATATAGCATGGTGGAAGGAGGGCAGACCCTGGACCATATATGGTGATGAGCAGGATCGTCAAGTATTGTGGTGTCCAGCCCGTACCATATCCATGGCAAGATCTAGGCGAGTCCTTGGCAAACCAAG